GTGTCCGGACGGGGAACACATCGTGACGGCGACGTGTGCTCCCAGGCTGCGAGTCAGTAATGGCTACAAGATATGGCACTACACTGGCTCTCTGTTGCACAGCTACGAGGTTCCGTCGAACGAAGAAATGTGGCAGGTTTCCTGGCAGCCCTTCCTGGATGGAGTGTTCCCGGTGAAAGCAGTCAAGTACCAGGCAGTTCCAAGTGAATTGCCCGCTGCTGAGCCGAAGCCTGCTGAAGCGTACAGACCTCCAGCCCTGCGAAACAAACCCGCAACAAGTTCCAAGCTGGTGAGTAGCCCGTTTGATAGATGGACTGCACTGTTCTGTTTCATTGCTTTGCCTGTCTTTGACGCCTGGCCTCAAATACACGTGTATCTGTAACGAGGGACACTGGAAGAGTAATCGCACTGACGGGAGTATTGCAGGTTTTCTGAGGGGTTTTCTTGATAATCCTCTTTGACGCTTTGCTCACTGTTTGTGAGAACATATGCTGGAAATCTCAAATTTCTTTGGTCCTAATACTGTCCTTTTACAAAGTCATCTGCAAACTTTACAAACGCTCTCTACAACATGCGCTGGGACAGTAGACTGCAAAGTTGGTTCACAGTGAAATTGGGTACTCAAGATAGAAGCCTCTGATGTGGGTGGCCTGACTTACCAGTCTAAACCCAGCTAGGTTTACGACTAGGTGATTGACTGGTTTTTTTTTGTGTTTGTTTTTTTTTTTTAAGGTAAGTTTACTTGCTAGAAAGAGGTTTGATGGTTAGCAAGACAGCTGCAGTTTAAACAGGTTTCAGCATAGTGATCTACTTGGCTAATTAGTGTCTTTTCTGCAGGCTTGCAGAGTAAGCTGAGTAGCAACTAATTACATTTAACAGTTGCGCCCTTGATGTTTAAGTGTTGGAGAGCTTGATTGTGAGCCTTGTGCTCTTGAGGGAAAGGCTCCTGCTCTGCTTGTGAGGAATCTGTTAATCATGCTAATAGCTGATTCAGCAAATGATCAGTAAGCAGAGGTCGCACAGAAAAGATATGTTAAGTAAAATAACTCTGTTTACACGAGCAAGAAGTTCTGTTGTGCAATAACACCATCCAGCTCCTCAATTAAGAGTTACCTTAAAACCCCCAAAGACTGAACAACCCCTGCTTTTCGATCCCCACCTTCCCAAGAAAGCACACCCCATCTCCCCTCCCAGCAACCCGTTTTTCCTTTCTTGTCACTAGGATTTTGAGTTTAAAAAGTTGTCAAGAAAAGCAAAATGCCAAGCTTCAGTCATTTTGTGCCAATTTATTCCTCTTTGATTTTATTTCCCCTCGAGATATAAAACATAACTTTGTTATTTTATCAGAAATCCATTAAATCTTTCAGACATACAGGATAGTCCCATCCAAGCTTGAGAATGGATGAGTTCAAAACCCTTTTCACACTGTTCTGCTACTCCAAAGAGAAAGGGCAGATACTTTTTTTTTTTTTTTCTTCCTTTCTTTCTTTGTTTTTTTCATTCCTCTTCCTTTATGGTTCATCTTTGCATATGGTGTTGTCTCAGGTAGGTTTGGGGGTTCACTGTTTGGCTTTTTTTGTACCAACATGCTCGGCAGCATGGAATACGGGTTTTGTAACTGTTTATTTTGCATCTCGTGCAGCATGAGAACGAGCCACCTCAGAATATGAAACCACAGTCGGGAAGCGGTGATAAGCCACTCTCTAAAACAGCTCTCAAAAATCAAAGGAAACATGAAGCAAAGAAAGCTGCTAAACAGGTACTGCAGAAGTAGTTCGTTGAAGGATGACATTAATCAGTTTTCCCAAACGGCGCTGGCGCGTCTCAGAGCAGTGACCGTGGGGTGCACTGAGAGCCGTCCGCACATCTTGCACGTGCTAAGTTGTAGGGAGGGTGGTGGGCGTTTTAGTGGGACTAAAGCAGGTACGAAAGGATGACTTAAAATAGCAACTTTGGTTAGTTGCTGTGAAGGCTAGCTGAAATCAGTGTTAAGCCCAAGTAATCCTGGCTTTCACCGTCAGACAATCTGCACAGCTCTGTTCAGTGTTAGGGGAGAGGTAGGAACGGACTCCTGCTCTGATGTGTGCCCTCAGCAGGTCGGGGCTGAGACACGTTACCAAAGACAGCCTGTTCTGTGTCATCTCTTTGCTTGCAGTTCTTTGGCTAGGTAGATAAAAATTGGGGTTTGGTATTAGCTTTCCAATCTCTATGAACTTTTGCAGCAATCATTTCTTTAAATAAGATTTTTAATTTCTTACACTGATTTTGAGCCCTTTCTTTTACTTCAAAGACAATCACACACCAGTCCACTTTACAAAATATTTGTGTATATGTTTGTCATGTCATCCTTACTGATGTTTCCCTGTGCTATGTCTGGTTGGTGTCTTGAGGAAGCAGAAATGAAGGGAGGAAACAGCATGTGAGTTGTTATAGAGAACCCATTTTTCGTGGAAAGCATATATATATAGATAGTGCAGTGCATCAAAGCAAGTCACTTAAAATTTTGGAGTACACCAGCAAACTAGTCAAAGAAGAAATATTAAATGGATCCCTTAAAATGATTAAAGACATTCTTCAGTCCCTTTGTAAATAAAGGTGTTTCTAGATAATGTGTTTATTTGTGTGTAGGAGGCCAGAGCTGATGCGAACCAGGAACCGACACAGCCCTGTGCATCACAGCCTGCACCACGGAGTGCTGCGCCTGCCGTGACGTCGGGAGATCCTGAAGTGGACAAGAAGATAAAGAATTTAAAAAAGGTGAAGGGATTTTTTTTTTCCCCCCCCTAACAACAGATTTCCTTAAGAGATGGTCTGCAAGATCTAGTCTGATGGTAAGGTTACCTGAGCTCAGCAGGATAGCACTTCTGTTCTCTGGGTTTTGTTGTTGAAAGAAATGTCTTTTATTCGTGTGAATTTCTGGATTGAGCATCTGGAGATGCTTAAATGGAAAGTGCCTTCCCTGTTGAGACCCTGCTCCTGGTAACCCAGGCAATTGCAGCTGCAGGAACTTGTAAAACTGGTTTTTTTTTTCTGTTCTTGGCTCACCCAATATTTTTAATTTAGTGTGGGTTTTTTTGTTTGTTTCTTTTTACAGAAACTGAAGGCAATTGAGCAACTGAAAGAACAAGCAGCTGCTGGCAAACAGCTAGAGAAGAATCAGGTACTGTTAACATGCTGCAGTTTATTCAAGTTTCATTTTATAGTAAGCTACTGTCGGTGGTAACCTTGTGCTTTTCTGTTCTAGCTGGAGAAGATTCAGAAAGAAAATGTTCTCCTTCAGGAACTGGAAGACCTAGAACTGGGTCTTTAAATCTTCATGGAAATCCAGTGTGGCGTCAACACAGAGTTCATGAAAAATATAGTTTGTATTAACTTGAACATAAAGTTTTGGCAAATGACTGAGGATGCAAAAGTCCACAGCTTTGTTGCACGCTTGCCTTTAGAAAAGCTTTCCTCCAGATTTGTGCACATGGAAGGGTAAACAAGTAACAAGTGCCACCTGGGCTGTGCCGAGGCGCGGTGCCGGCGGGCGGGCTGGCTGGCTTTCCCCTG